TGTTTAGAGCTATTTGAGGTATTTTTTATTGATAATTTTGCTAAAATCTTCTTTTTTCTTTAGCTATTTTTTGTGTTTGAATAATCAACAGGGAATTATATAGCCTTTTATTATCACTTTTAAATTTTTTGTACTTAATAATATAATCAAACTAATTATAAATTAAAGAATATTTTATTTGTTTTCTATCTGATAACTATGACAACTATTTGTAAAATATAGAATATTCTTAAAATAGGCATATTGATTTTATAATAATGTATTTAATATAAATACATTTACAAATAAGCAGAAATTAAAATGTTTACTCTTTTTTTGAACAGTATACTGTTTGTTATCAATTAATATCAACAGGGTTGAGAATTTTATATTGTAAGAATAAAAATCATCAAATACAAAAACTTTATTCTCATCATATTTCTCAAACTATTTGCTATTATTTTGAAATTTATAATATGCATTAAAAAAAAGTATTTGAGTCAAATAGTCTTTTTCTGTTCTTGAGTCTCCAAAATTATAAATATTATAAGAAGTAAAACATTTTTTAAATAATTTCTTTTGCCCATTTTGAATTGTGTTATACAGTTCTTTAATAATGTGTAGTGCAATTCCTGAACTTACAAATGCATCTATAACAATTTTATTTATTGATTTAATTCATTTTTTAATATTTTTTATTATTTGTTTGTATAATTTTTTTTGTTCTTCTAAAAAATGTTGGTTAACTCCTTTTGTATTATTATTTGTTAATAGATTTCTGTATTCAAAAAGGCCAGAATTTTTATTAATATGCACAAATGTTTGAAATTCTGCACAACTTTTATTATACTTATTACAAATTTTTGTTAAATTAAAAAAATCACATTTGTAACTACTATGTTTTAAGCAATAATTATAATCTTTTTTACAATATTTGATTGCATCTTCAAATGTTCTATTATAATAATCAACATGCATTTCTTCAGATTCAAAAATGCTTTTGATGATTAAATCTTTTTTACTATATTTATAATTTCCTAATCTTATTTGTGTTTACAATATACAGAATCTTTGTATATATTACTTATTCATTTTTGTAAGTTTGTATTGAAAAACTATATATCAATAATTTTTCTATCAACATTTAAAATTATCACATCTTTAATTTTATTTAAATTATCTGTAAAAAGTGTAAACATAAAACATCTCAATTGTGTTTTTCTTTAAATGTTTGTTATTATTTAAATTTTTTGTTGTTTTGTAATCTATTTTTTTTTGATTATTTTACTACTGCTCCTATTTTTTATAGTTTTTTTAATAGCTATAGCAAATCATTAGACTAAATTTATTCTTAAAATAGAAAATTTAATCAATTTAGTCACATGCTGCAGTAACAGATTTGTTCAAAAAAAAAGTAATTTTATTTTTATTAGTTTACCAATAATCTGCTATGCATCAAAACAAAAATTTATAAAAACATATGATTTACTCCCTTCTTATCTTAAAAATTAGTTTCAAAAGAATGTTAATTACAAATATATTTAGATTTGAAAATATTTACTATAACAAATCTAGAAACACTTGGGCTTATAATTACATCAAAATAAATACTTTTATAAATATTAATTTTCTGATAATTATAATAACAAATCTATTTTGAATCATGCAATTGAATACAAGAAAGAATATAAAGCAAAGTTAAAAGATATTACAAATATTATCAAATACAAAAACACTAAAGCAAAACTAAAAGATTTAATAAACAAACAACTTGTATTACTTTTATAATTAACTAATTTAATTTAAAGATAAAAAAGCTTCACACTGTATTTTATTTAGAAATTTACTTTTTTTACTTAATATTAACTCTCACTTACTCTCATATGTTTGTTAATTGACCAACTAACTAATCAATTTAATTTTTTTAGTTTAAAAAAATTATCTTATTAAGTAAAAATTTATCTTACAAACAAAAAATTTACTATCAGGTAAGAAAGATTCACAACTTGTAATAATTTTTATTTTATGTAATAACTTTTACTAACTCTTATTCTGCTAACTTAGCTACTTCATTATGGGTTGTTTGTTGACTAGTATTCATAATTGTGATTTATTTAGGGGGCTATTTTTTATACCCCCTATTTTTATTATTCGTACCCCTCATAACATAAATTTCTGATATTCACATGTTCATATGCAATGATGATCATTGCTTGAAGCGTGATTGGGCAGTAGCGCTGCACACATTATATACAAATATAGATATTAAACTATCATCTACTTTGACATCTGTATTTCTGTATTTACATACATTCAAGTACAAAAAATAAAATCTTGAATTGTTTATTCAACAAGAAATAATAACCTGTTTATATAATGTACATTAAGTAAAATTACAAAGTGTTTAGGATTATTTTGATGATATGTATGAGGAAATACCATTATTTTAAATTGATGCTTCAATAGGATTATGTTGACTTATCATTAGAATTCCAGGCAAATAAAGTAATGATAATGTAATATTGAGTGAAATTACAGAAATGACTAGATTATCTTGATGCTATAAGGAAGCTTTGTTATTGGGTTGACACTTCAATATGATGATGTTGACTCAATGTTCATTAGAATTAGTTGTTTTAAAGTATTGGGAATTATTTCGTTTCTGGGTGGCTAGGAGAATTGTTATCCCAACATTGTTTATGAAGTCAATAATATTAGGTGATATACTTTTATAAGTCTTCTCTAAGTAAAAAAAACATACTAGCCTGTTATTAAGGGTTCAAGTATGTCAGTGACTCCCTGTGATTGTAATGAAATTTTTATTATGATCTTACCCTTGTCAGTAAATTTAATTCAACCTTTTTTAAATATGAATTTGATAGCTAAATTTAATTCAAAAATCAAAAATCTGGCACTTGAATTTAGCTTAATTCATAAATTTATCATGATACATCGTTATGACAAGGGTCTTTGTTAAATGTTTTAACAATCAAAAAAATATAATCAATTCTCTTTGAAGCTTTTTGACTATACATGAGTTGTCTAATTATTTATTTTAAAATGAATTTTTTAGCTAATCTTGATGCAAAAATACCATTCCTGATGGAATTTAAAAAAAATTTATTTAAATACGTTCCTGATATGGTTTTAAAAACGAACCCTAATCCTCACTGTTTTCATATATTTCACTATAGTAATATAATATTTAAAGGCCCTTTTTTAGAACCCTATCAGGAACTGTATATAAATCAATATTTGTTTCTTGCTCTATCAGGAACAGTATCAATGATTCGAAATGGTATTTTGTAATCTCAACATTCAAACGATAAAAAAAATTATATAGCATCTCTAAATCAAAGCAATTTAGCAATAAGTTCGGCTTTTGTAGTGCACTGACCACAATACCCTTTTTCAATACCCTTGTGCAAAATACTCTAGTCAGTCACTATTAATTAAAGTGGTTTTTTTTTAAAAAAATTTCTAGATTGTTTAGAATAAATGTGGAATATGTGTAATTGATCTTTCTTGCGACACTGGCCTATTACAGCTATTAGACCTGGGTTCTTTAGTCAGTGCATTATGATAGTTATCGTTATAGCTGCCTATGGTAAATAAATTGCTTTTTTGTTAGTAATCTTGCAACTTGATGTGCATATTCTATTATAAACTCATTTCTTTTAATACAATGATCGTCAGACGCTAGTCAAAATAAGGAAAAGAATACTAAAATAGTATAAGGTATTGATTTTATTAGACTGTATGATCAATGAAATTACATACGTATAAGTAGCATACATACAAGTATGAAAATAATAAAACCTAAAATGGTGTGGCTTTGGAAAATGGCTTAAATCATTCAACTGGCGAGAAAAGAAATAAGTATTAAAATGATATAAGCGTAAATGCTATAATAAGAAAGCAATAATCCTAAAGGGTGTAGAGCGTAGCTATGGAATGGATTACAAAAGCACATGAAAGTAAACAATAAATTTTAAATTAGCTACTAAATTTATTGATCACTCTTACAAGAATGCTAAACACAAATTGTATAAGTATAAATACTATAATGTGTGCGTAAAATTCACTAATGTATTAGAACAAAAAACTATATAAAAAGCAATAATCCTAAAAGGTATAGGGTGTGGCTATGAAATAGGTTATGAAATGCACATGAAAGTGATTAATAAAATTTGAATTAGCTACTAAATTTATTGATCACTTTTACGAGAATTGCTAAACACATCCCAAGTCGCACTCTACACTTTTTAGATTTTTAGCAAGAAGATAGATATAATAAATCCCAATAAGGCGTAGCGCATGGCTCTGAAATAGATTGTGAAAATTTACATAAGAGAAAAGATGAATCTAAGATCATGAAGAACAAATATTCTGAATTAAAAAGGAAGGTAAAATAAAAAACATTCATTACACAGCCTGAAGATCAGATAAAGTATATATTAAATTAATAAAAGTAAATAAAAATTTTTCATAAATATGTCTAAAATATAAGGAGAGTTTGAAAATAAAAGTGATTATAGATTAGAAATAATTTGATAAAAATACCTTGCTTTGCTCTTAAAATTTCTTCAAAACTATAATAAATCATGCACATTTTGATTGTTAATTTGTATTTGCGACCTTCATTTCTTGTAATCCTTTGTTCCTTGTAATTTTAACTCTGTTTTCACCATAATCGTTTCTGAAATAAGCAAAATATTAATTTACGTGAATTAAGTTTTAAGATATATCGATTGCACCAACAAATCTTTATACATTAAGTTGTTATTGTCTTTGTTATAATAACCATGCTTCCACCTTCTCCTGAAGTACATAATAGCATCGATAAACTTTTCCAGAATGCACAAAGATTTGCAAATTCTCAAGGGTACGTCCTAGTTAAAAAAAGAACTCGAAAGGATAATCGTAGTAAATTAAAAAATATGTTAATACATTGTGACCGAGGAGGTGTTTATAACAACTTCTCTGGTTTTGCTGAAGAAACACATAACAGAAAAACAAGCACCAGATTAATCGATTGTTCTTTTGAATTGTATGCAACTCGACGAAATGGCTTGTGGCACTTGGAGATTCGTAATGCTACACATAATTATGGTCTCTCAAATGATATGTCAGGACATCCTATTGTTCATCGACTAACAGAAGAACAAAAAGAAAGTGTTGCAATAATGACTACTTCCAGTTCACGTTCCCGTGAAATTATATCAACACTTCGACAAAATGATCTGTCAATGTTAGTTATTAGCAATGATATTTATAATATGCATGCCCAGCTTCGGCAACAAAATCTGGCTGGTAGAACACCTATTCAGGCTTTAGTAGATGAACTTCAAGGAGGAAATTTTTTATATAAGTATAAGTGTAATAATAATGGTTCAGTTACTCATATATTTTTTACACATAAAGAATCAGTCTCTCTTAGCCATCAATATTCTACAGTAATTCTTATAGATTGTACCTACAAGACTAACAAATTTAAAATGCTCTTATTAAATGTCATAGGTATAACCAGCTTCAATAAAACTTTTTTTTCTTGTTTTATTTTTATGAAAGATGAAGATAAGGATGATTACAAATGGGCCCTTACAAATGTCATGAGTATATTTGATGGAATGCAAAAACCCGGTATTATAGTAACTAATAGAGAGTTGGCGCTTATGAATGCCCTCAAAATTATCTTTCCTAATTCAACAAACCTACTTTGTGCATGACACATTAGTAAGAACATTCTAAAAAATTGCAAGCCACAGTTTCTTAAAGAAACCAATGAAGAAGAAAGTGGTAAATGGCAAAGTTTTCTTGCAAAGTAGAACAATATCATTCAATTTAAAACAGAAAGCGAATTTGATGTAAAATGGAATAATTTATGCTCCACTTACGTTAATAAACCTAGTGTAATATCTTATCTTCAGGAAACCTGGATACCATGGAAGAAAAAATTTATAAAAGCCTAGACAAATCAATACTTCACTTGGGCACAACTGTAACTTCACGTATTGAGAGTTTGCATGCAACATTAAAAGTGTACTTACAAACATCTACGGGGATCTTTATCATATTTATATGACAATATTATTAGCAGTAACCAACCAGAGAAAAGAATTTAATACTATAATTGCATCAGAGTGCATTCGTATTCCAGCTTTTGCTACTTATAATTCTCTATATTCAAATATTAGGAGTAAAATTAGTAATATGTATAGTTATCATTCAAACTATTTTGAATGGCTCAAACTATATGATGATTAGCATTATATGTGGTTTATATTAAGACCAGGTTAAAACCATATGTAATGCTAATTATTACATAGCTTGGGCCATCCAAAATAGTTTGGATAGTAACTATAGTAATATGGATCAAAAATTGATTAAATATCTAGTTAACTAAGTTGCAACTAAATAATTAATTAATTTTTTTTAAAAAAATAATCAATTGACTAATCGATTATATTTTTTATACAGATTCATAACATTAGGTAAAGTATCAAGCTTTGCACTCAATAAGATAAATGATTAGTATCAGAAGGCAAAACGTGCTACCGCACAAGAGCCCTTACTATCATGCACTAGAACTTTCACAAGAATGATGGGCTTACCTTGCACTCATTTTATTCAGCATTTGGAGAATAATTAAAATTTAATGCTTAATGACATTCATAAACATTGGTGGATTCCAGGAAACATACCGACGCTGCAGGTTGAAGAAAATAGTTCCGATCCTGAAAACCCCCTACAACCTCTTTTGCACAATCTACAACAAAGATATCAAGAATGGCCAGAATTCCAGCAATTAGTGGCACAAGATACTTTGAAAACCTGATCGATGAACCATCAATGACCTTACAAAATCCTAATATGGTTCACACAAGAGGCCGTCCCTCTGGAGCTCCTAATTACCAGAAAAATAACTCGATATGCAGAGATCCCTCCAGCTTTGAAATGGTAAAACACAAGAGTAGGCATTGTGCCATTTGTCGACAACCTGGGCATAATGCTTGTACCTGCACAAATAAAAAATAGCAGTGTAAAAATGTTTAGTTATTTGATGTATAAATGAACTAAAAGAAATAAAAGTTCGCTTATGGCATAGATCAGATTTTAAAGTTCACAACTTCAGACCTGCTTATTTATTTTTTTCGAATACATGTTAACACATGCAAATAAAATAACCCAAATTTGAAAATGTTACACTTTACCGTTAGTGTACCATAATGATAACGATAATCGACAGATCAGTACATAGTAAAACTGGATAGAAAAAGATTGGTTGCTTAGTTATAAACGATTTGGTATAAACGATTTGGTATGTATAAGCTGTTACGATCCAAGATTTTTTTTCTTTTTGTATGTAGATACAGGTATCAAAAGTGCTGTATCTGCATCGAAGGTTTAAAAAAAAAGTACAGTATATAGATAATTGTTTAACATCTAGATTTGTATATAATGCATATAACGCTACTGCCCAATAGCATTCTAAGTACTGATCATCATTGCACGTGATCACATGAATATCAAAAACTTACATTATGAGGGGTATGAATAATAAAAATAGGGGGTATAAAAAATAGCCCCCCATATTTATCTGCATTATATATATGTATAATTTTATATTTTAAATTTATATTTAATTTAGCAAAAAACGAATTTGTTTTTTGCTATATAATATAAAATTTTATTATATAATTAAATTAGTATTTAAATTTTATTTTGAAGTATTAAAATAACATTAATTTATCAAATTATGCAGAGATAATTTAATATTTAATTATTGATCTATCAATTATGCAAAGATAGTTTAATATTTAAGCTTTATTTATTTATTTAAGCAAAACATTTGTTATTAAAAATTCTTTTATTCTTATTTAAAATGTTTAA